CAAAGTATCGACATAAGTAACATGGTCTGATGCTCAAAGCCAATAAATCATATCTTTCTTCAAGAACATCATGAACTAGATCAGATAAATAGGAGTAAACTTTCAGTACTGGAAATGAAATTAGCTAAATATAACTACAAAGGTTTTCTATATGGTTTAAGTTTTAACTAATGTAGACCCAGAAAACAGTTATCACGATGCAAGCCCAAGACCTTTTCCTTCATGCAACCCTTAGCAATATCTGCTTATCACATAGAAGAGAAGAGCAACCCACCGGGCCGATGGAACTACCCAACTTACATTGATCAGCTAGCACCTTATGCTTTTCAGCCCCTCTAGCACCGTATGTATTTCTCACTTTTCATAAACTAAATATCTTCCCAATACTAACACAAAGTGATGGGGTAGACTGGAGTTTTAAAGGGAACAGGAGAGTCAATTACCAACCTAATGTTACGCCTTGACAAACAACCATTGAGATATGGGGAAAAGGCTTCTTGATAGCTGATATATATTGTGCGCCACCTAATGCAGAAAAAGGATAAACTAACCAATAAACAACTTTAGAACCCACCAGTCATGCCTGGAATGGAACAAACATGCATAAGAAATTTAACTGAACCAGCCAATAATCAGTTAACAATCTAATCACTTCCAGTTTTAAATTACATGCACATGCAACTAGAAATGCATACATAATGAATTATGTTGGGTAAAACAAAGCAACATTATGCACCAGTACAATACACGAAAAACCAGTGAAAGTTCATGGCTTAAGAAACAAAAACTACGTCCAAAGTGCTAACTCAATAGAGAATGACTACAAATTATGTAGAAGAAAAAAATTACAGTAAACAGGCTGCGGTGCTTGCCAAAGGTCTTGGCTTGTCTGCAGATTGTTTGGAGATTGTTCTAAGGTGATGGACAGTTATAGAATCGGCTTGTTGAGGGTGAAAAATCAGTGAGGACAGTTCCTACCTGCACAGCACTTGGCACACTCAGAGAACACTTAGAGAAAATATATTTTAACGGTTTCAATTTATATACGGACCAGTACCTCAACCTTCTTGTAATATGGAATTACAATTTTGAATACCAATAAAAAAAAAA